AAAAAAAAAAAAAAAAAAAAAAAAAAAAAAAAAAAAAAAAAAAAGAATGCGTGCCACTGAGCAACTCCAAACTAGTCTGAATCACTGTACTTTAGCATTTTTCAATGCTACCTAATTAAGGTGCTCACGACAGGGCCCCACATGCATGACTGTCCATACCGCCGAGCTGGTTGGAACAGATTAGCCTCCGTGCTGTGTGTCAGGGTCTTGTCATTGTCACAGTTATCTGAGATAACTAACTACTTAAAGAGAAAAGGTCTGCCATGGCTCTGTTTTGAAGTCTGTTATCTGTGACTCTGGGCCCCACTGCCTGAGCCAGTGCGGAGGGGCAGGAGCAGGTAACTGTGGGGTTCTGAGAGCAACGGTGCATGGTTCCAGGTGTTACTACATCCTTACTCTGGTGCTGCCTCTCCACACCCTTCTTTCACAATGCTCTCACCATTGAGAAGGGCTTGGGCCAAGCCTCCTGAGTCTTCGCCTCATCCGCAGAGCCCAGAATATGCAAATGCTCCAGACTGGGGCCAGGGATTTATTAGCTCAGTGGTTCTGCTGCTTGACTCACAAGCTAAGGTCCTGAGTTCGACCCCTGGTACCAAAACCAAACAAACAAAAACCAACAGACATATTTCTTCCTCAAATGTACCAGAACATTCCTCCAGGAAGGGAGGAAGGAAAGACTCACTCACTGATTTACTGTCCATCTGAATGGTATTCGGGTCTGCTGGGAATTTACCTGTATCTCAGGAATGAGTTAGCTACCACTCGCCTTCAAGGTTACTATCCCAAGGGGCAGAAAAATGTAGCCCAAAGGCAGCTCATCCCTGCCCCCGATGGACCAGTCTGGGAGGCTCCTGCAGCCCCTGCCACCTCTGGTGGACCTTGACCCCCACTGCTGATCAGTGGCTGGCCAGCACAGTCCACTGGACCTGCAGTACAGCTTCCTTTTCCTGGTCTGATGCTAAGGACTCTGCCAAGACCAGAAGCCTTGAAAATGGGGTCCCCTTCCCTGCACCTCCACACTGCCCTCATGTCGGCCCCACCTCAGGCTGTGCCATCCAGGAAGGCCCTGTGTACTGAAAGGACCAGCCAGCCCCCACCCCTTTCTAGGTCTTGAGAGGTCTTAGTCTTTCTTGTCTCCCTTTACGCTACCTTTCTCTCCAAAAAGACACGTCTAGCTAGATATGTTAGCACATACCTACAATCCCAGCTACTTGGAAGGCTGAAGCAGGAAGATCTGAAGTTAAAGCCCAGTCTGGGCAACTGAGCAACTTAGCCAGACCCTGTCTTAAAATTTTTTAAATAAGGGGCTGGGTATTTGGCTCAGTGGTTCTGCTGCCTGCCTCACAAATTTAAGGTCCTGAGTTTGATCCCTGGTGCCACAAAAAATTTTTTTTTATTAAAAAGAAGGGCATGGCTGGGGATATGGCTCAGTGAAAAGGCTCTGGGTTTAATTTCTAGTGTGGCAAAAAAAGGCACCTCTTTCAAATACTGTGGAAGCCTTGAACAATCTCTCTCGTGACTTATTTTAGACATCCAAAGAAGGCAGATCTAAACATGGGAAGAGATGTTGACTCAGCTTTTGGGCTCCACGCAAACACAAAAATCCTGACTCCCCTCATAGAAAGTGTGTGGTGAGAACCACACAGAGAACAAACACAAACTCTTATCCCAGAAAACTGAGCTGTCCCTAGCCGGAATGTGTGCTCCCCGAACTCCTGCTGCAGCCCTGGCCCTTGTGAGTGGTTGGGTGTCCGTGCAGAGGCTGTAAGTCCACTCTCGAGGGCCCTGAGCAGAACTGATTGTCCACCACAGGCCAGGCCCTTGCTCATTCAGGCCCCAGAAGACTTCGCCAAGTGTTGGACTCACCCATGATAGCAACAGAAGCAACACGTGTGAAAGAAAACAGGTACACTTTCAGCTGACCAGCTCAGTCCTGATTAGCACTGTTTAAGGAGCTCTCCATTTTAAGGACACTTATTAGCCATTTTCCGAATCAACTGCCACATAGATTTGGTTTACTTCCTTTCAGCACAGAAGGATAAGTTGGCAGGCACTCGTCCGCACATGTGGGCCCTCACAGTTATCTACTTCACACATGAGCTTCTACCCTTAGTACAACCGTCACAGTCTGTAATACGAAACCGACACCAGAATGGAGAGCCTCTAGGTATCAGTGTTGAGAAAAGGAAAAGCATTGAGATTACTGCATGATCTCTACGGTGACACAGGGATGACTGGGTGGCTCGGAGACGCCACTGAGTGGGTTCAGGGCTGGCTGAGTGACTGGAGACCAGGGTACCGATTAACACATGGCTGTCACACTAGAAGGGGTTCTCCATCGGGGCTGCGAAGGTGGAAGGGCGTGGAAGGCACATTTCCCAGGGTGGTGGCTGAGAAGTATTCAATTGCACACCCTGGCTGACTGCCGACACCTATTGTGCGTGACAGAGTCAAATCCAGAGCAGCCTGAAAGTCTGGGACCAGCCCACCCTGACAAGATGGATTAGCTTAGTTAGGGATCCACTTGCATGAACTGGGACAAGATAGAGCTTTCTGATTTCTTGGCCTTTCTACAAAACAATTCAACAGTTACAAAGATCACAGTACGGAACCCCAAGAATTGGTCACCCTAGGAAAGCTATGCGGGCCAGCCTCACAGCTGTGGTGTAAGATCAGGAAATATGTTTACCTGGGTGGAGGTCAACAGACCCAGTCGGGGTCGGACGCGAAGACCCACGAGAAATGATTAAAGCTGGGAGTGTGGAAGAGAAGTCCGAGGGAACCGCCTTCCGGCTTTGAAAAGCCCAACCCACAGCACCGGCTCTCCAGCCTAGCGGACCCAGCGGCCGCAGGCCAGGGCCAGGGCACCGCCCGGGTCACGGCTCCCCAGCGGGTCGGGACGGGACGTGGCGAAGCTCCGCATGGGCCCCCTGCCGGCCCCGGCTCCAGCCGCTCGGCCCACTCGGACCCCAGTTGCGCCGGTGAGCTCAGCCAGGAGGCCTCGAGTCACGGCCGCCCGGGCACCTTTCAGCCACTGACATGGAGGATTCCCTCTGAGGACCACGCGTTTAAGGCGTGTGAGATCTAAGGGCCCCGAGGGATCGTCTCCCCGTTGCCTCTTTCCGCGGGGGCCACGCGTCCAGCTTGGCGAACTTCTCCTGGGTTCGGTTCTGTTCGCCCGCCGACCAGGCGCGGTGCTGCGGTCTTTGCCGCCCCCAGGCGGCGCCAATGCATACTGCACCCAGGTGCGTGCTCGCTCTGCGAAGACGTCAGGCCTCCGTTTTTCAATGAAAAGTACCGGCCCACAGAAGCCCAGACCGTTACTCTCTCCGCGGGCCACTCAGCGCGCTGGGCGAGCACAGGGCCAGAGCCAGACCACAGGGAGGCACCGCCCGGGCCGGCCCAGCCCTGGGGCAAAGAGCGTCCCTTCGCAGGACACAGGGCGCCCAGGGATGCGGGACTGGGGCAAGGAGGGACATCGGAGGTCAACACCAGCCCACGTATGGAAGCCCACACGTGTGGAGGGCTGGACCAGGGATGTGCCCTGATGGTCAGCGTTGGGTGCAGAAGACAGATTGGAGAATTG